ACGTTCTCTCGGGCGCGGGGTGCACGGTGGCTGCCAGCGGCCTGGGAGAGGCCTTCCTAGGATTCTCTCCGCTCCTCACCCCTCAGGTCCAAGGGAGGGGAGGTCGTAGGCACCCCATTGGGTCGAGAGGACACTGAGGCCTGGAGAGGGCACGGGCTGGCCCGAGACAGCACAGCTAGTGAGGGGCAGGCCTCTGAACCCCGGCAGGTGACCCCGGGCCCCACCCCCGGTGCCCCGGCCTCCTGGGTGGCAGGTGGGCTCTCCCTCCTGTTTCCAGGGTGTGAGGGACCCGGGCCCCACCTTCCAGACAGAGTGCTGACCCCAGAAGCGCCCTGACCCCCAGCAAGGCTGGCCCCTCAGCAGCCCCGACCGAGCCCCGACCTGAGCCAGGCGCCGACTCTCTCTCTGCTGTCTCTTCATCTCTCTCTCTCTCTCTCTCTCTCTCTCCATCTCTCTCTCTCTCTCTCTGCTGTCTCTTCATCTCTCTCTCTCTCTCTTTGCTCTCTCTCCATCTCTCTCTCTCTCTCTCTCTCTCTCTCTCTCTGCTGTCTCTCCATCTCTCTCTCTGTCTCACCCTCTGTCTCTGTCTCGGTTCCCCCCATGCCCCCCGCTCACTCCCCCCTGCTCGTGGTATCCCCTAGGCCAGGGCTCCCACACCCAAGCCCGTCAGCACCTCCTGCAGGGCTGCCCACCCCTCCCCCGCCCGGCGCCTCTGATTCAGGAGGCCGCCCAGGGGCCCCCCCGAGAGCCTGCAGTTCCGAGTCCTTAGGGTGCAAACTTTGAGGCCTGCTCTGAGCCTCAGTTTCCCCCTGTGCAGCGGAAGGCCATGGGTTAAAGAAGAAGGTGCATCCTCCTGGCCCACCCAGTGACCCCCACACCCCAGGGCGGAGGCTGAAAGGGGCCTGGAGCCTCGACTCCTGAGACCTGGGACCCCTCCCGCAGGGGTCCTGCCCGTCTCCGCGGAAGAGGGTGCTGGACGTGGGGCGGGGCCCAGACCTCACAAGGCTGCCCAGGCCGCCCACGGGCCAGCGCCCAGCAGGGTCCCCCGGCAGCGGGGCTGGAGCTGTGTGGGCTGCAGGCTCAGCCGCCTAGGGAGACGGCTCTGGAGGGGCTGTCGCACAGAGCAGGCCTGGGTGCTTGGAGAGATGCATTCAGCCAACGGGGGCCCCTCTCAGGGTACAAATTAGATCCAGTCACCCCTGGTATTAAGCCGGACAGCGCTCCAGGGTTTTCCCGTTGTGTCTGCTCAGGCCTCCTCCCCTGTTTATCTCCAGGGCACGGCTGGCAACGGGGCCCGTCCTAGGCTGGGGCAGCTGGCACTGGGACAGGTGGGGGCGGGGGGGGCAGGGGCAGGCTCCTGGGGACCTTCAGGTCGAGGGCACTGCTTTGGTAGAGACCCAGGTGCTAAGGGGGTGCCCTTTCTCCACAAGGGGGGCCGTTCTTGCCCGCCTGCTCCTCACCCCTCAGGCCACCTGGGCCTGTCAGCAGGTCCCCCAGACCTCACTGCAGCAGAGCGCAGGCGTGGAGAGGGCTCAGCCGGGGCAGGCCTGGGTGGCTTCCACGGCACCACCACCACCAGCTCAGGCAGGTCACTGTAGGCCTCTGAGCCTCAGTTTCTGCATCTGTAGAGTGGGGTCTCAGACCCACCTGACGGAGTAGCAGGTGGATTAAATGAGATAGAGCCGGTGAGGCCACAGTTAACACATGAAGCGCCCAGTCAGTCACCGGTGACTGGCACTGTACTTTCCTTCCGGAAGACAAAACAGGCTGGGCGCTTAACGTGTTAAGGTTTCCTCCTCAAGTGCCTGCTGTGTGCGGAGCGGCCGGAGAGGGTCCCAGGAGGCTTCAGATGTAGCCCCGCTCACGGGAGCCCTGGCCTGGGGGACACAGTGTGAGCAGGGCTGTCGTGGAGGGAGGGGGGGTCTTCCTGCCAGAGGTGAGGCTTGCACTGGACCCCCTAGGACAGACCCACCAGGCCCCGCCCCTGGAGCTCAGGCCTTGGTGGGGACCCCACCGAGCCTGGCGACTCTGTTTTCCAGTCTTGTCCGCGCATTTCCGGGTCTGTGAGCCGTACACGGACCACAAAGGCCACTACCACTTTGGCTTCCACTGCCCCCGGCTCTCGGACAACAAAACCTTCATCCTCTGCTGTCACCATAACAACACGGTGTTTAAATACTGCTGCAACGAGACGGAGTTCCAGGCGGTGATGCAGGCGAACCTCACAGCCAGCTCCGAGGGCTACGCGCACAAGTAAGTGCACTCGGGCCACACACGCCCTGCCTGGGGCCCGTCGAGGCAGGATTCGGACCCAACACCCCATCCCCTCGGGTGGCTGTTGGGTGGCCACTGCCAGGATGGCTGGGCCTGGAAGGAACCTGGGAGAGTTCAGGAGACCCAGCTTTCTGGCCTGTCCTATCCTCTGAGCTTTACCTTTCCATCTGAGAAGTGGGCACATCATGCCTACCTTTCAGCTCTGCTACAAATTAAATGAAGGCAAGTAGGCGGAAGGCTTTTAGGCCGAAAGTACTTGGGCCTGGAATCCACAGGACCCAAGTTCCTTCCTTCCTTCCTTATTTGTTCAACAAATATTGATTGGTCTCTTGACCCAGAGATTAAGCCCCTTTCCTTAAGGTGATTAAAACACACCAGAGCTGATGGAGGGGACCATGATGAGTGTAAAGAAAGAGGAGTTCCCAGCCCAGCAGCAGTGGGAATATGACGGAAACAGCATGTCTTTCTCTTATTGTGAGTGAAGCTGAGCATTGCTTCACATGTTTGAGAGCCATTTGTATTTCTTTTACCGTGAGCTAGCTGTTTATGTCCTTTCTCATTTTCTTATTGAATTTTTGGCCAGAAAGGGCAGAAGTTGAGCTCAGTTCTTAGGCTTGACGTGCGGCCGGCATTGCGGAGCGTGCAGCGAGGATGAGGCTCGGAGAGGCTGAGTAACTTGCCTGATCGAGGCAGCCGGTCAGTGGGGGGCCAGGAGCCAGCCCAGGTCTGGAGGAGGCGGGTTTGAGCAGGAGAGGCCAAGGGCGGGGATCCCCACCGCAGCTGCATGGACGCCTGGGCCGAGCCCTCCCTGGGGGCTGCCTGTCCATTCCGGGCCCGCCAGCACCCTGTGTGACAATCAACCATGTTTCCTGGTGATGCCAAGTGTGGGTACAGGATCACCCCAGGGGGAGGGCCTGCGCTCTGGAGGGACTCCTCCTTCCTGGTGCTCCACCGAGCCCCCCGCCACCTCCCTCACCGCGGAGGACGGAGGCCCAGTGGCGTGGCACTGCCCCGTGGTGTGGTGAGTCCACTCCTCACCCGCTCGTCCTGTCACCAGGGCCCTCGAGCCCCAGGAAGGAGGCGTGTGCCGACCCCATGCATGCGAGAGCGGCCCCGAGGCTGAGCATGGCCAGGCGGAGAGAGTGAGGGGCTATGGGGACAGGCAGTGGGGTCTGGGAGGGAGTGGGGCGGGCCGGGCCGGGCGCTTGGACTTTCTCCAGTGGGTGGCAAGGGGGTCTGAGGGCACAGGAGCCCTGAGGGCTTTAGGCTGGGATTGTGTCCGTGAACGGTGCATGGGACCAGGGCCTAGGACACCGCAGAAGCCATGATGGTGACTTGGGCAAGACGGGGCCCCGCTGAGCGGGGCAGGCTCACCCCGGAGACGACCGGTCCAGATCCGGCCCTGGAAGCTCCCATGAGTTCACGTGTCAGCTCTGACACGCGTGTCATAGGTTCGCCATCACTGCGCTAGGACCACCACGCTGGGGCTGAGGCTCAGAGAGGGCGAGAACCTGCATGTGCTCACACCGCGTACAGTGGCAGAGCCGGGCTGGAGCCGGGCTGGTGCGACTGCTCTGGCCTCAGTGCTCCGCCTGTAGCTGGGAGGGTGAGGGGGCACGGGAGTGGGGAGGGGGGGAACGATGGCAGTAACGCCCCTCGCGGTCTGAGTGTTGAACAGGCCGGGATGTGTGAGCCTTCAGAGCAATGCCCACCCGCGGCTGCTTTCATTCCTGTCACTGCTTCTCGGTCCTGGAGGCTCCAGGCCCAGCATGGCCCAGCGCCCCTCTGACCCCTCCCTGCCCGCCTGCCCTCCCCCACACCGGTGTCACAGACGCCCTCTCTGCAGGGCCTGTCTGCAAACAGCTGCTCCTGCCTCCCCTCCCTGCTCGCCTCCCTCGGCCCCCGGGCTGCTGCCATGGGAACCGCTGAGGAAAGCTTGATGCTGAGAGCAACTCTGGGGGCCCATGGGGAGCTGGGAGAGGGTGCTGGGCAGAGCAGTGGTGCCAGGCGGCGGCAGGCCCCCTCTGTCCTCGGACGTCCACCCCAGGACTCCTGCCTCCGCGGCCAGGGCTACAGCCTGTGCCCTGGAGGAATTCCACACCCAGGTGCCAGGCGCGTGGAGCTTCCCCGTGAAATGAGGCTGCTGGGCGTTCACACTTCGGCCTGAACCAGCCCTGGGACCTGTGCCGGCCTCATGGAGGTGGTGGCTGCAGGCGGGGCGCAGGAGGGCGGCTGTGATAGAGGCTGCCTGGCTGCTCCGTCCTCAAGCAGAGGCCCAGCCCCGAGCACCGGCAGTGCCCGCCCCGCACTGAGTGCCCCCCACATGCAGAGGCCGCTCCCTCCAGCCTGGGCCACCAGTGAGGGGGAGGAAGGCATCCGGGCTGAGGGCACGTGAGCCACAGAGCAGCCCCGGCCGGG